CACATCCTCCCTCCTGTGCTATAGACAGGGCCTGCAAAGTGTCAGGTGCCCAGTGAGCATTCCATAAACAGCAAGAGTTATTGTCTCAGGAGGAGAGAGCAGCCCTGGAGGCCCATGGGGTGGGGAAAAGACTTCAAGGAACCACCTCTCCAAGGAGTCCATTCCCAGAAACCGAGCATGTGCAGGTGGGAAAGGCAGTGGGTAAAATGGCTTCAGGGCCTGGGTACCCCCACCCGACCCCACAGATACCCTGCCAGGTTTAGGACCATCTGGGAGTGCTACAAGAGTGGTGGGGTCCTGTCCAGCATATATGAGGAAAGGAGAGTGAGTTCAAGTTCACAGAGAGATTTTGTTAAGGTACATACAATAAAATACAAATCTTAAGTGATGAGTTTTTACCTGTGCGTACACCTGTGCAAACAACACCCAGGTCATGTCTAGAATATTTCCAGCACCCCAGACAATTCCCTCCTGCCTCTTGCCAGTCAATACCCCTGTCTCAAAGGCACCCACTGATCTGATCTGTGTCACCATAGATTAGTCTTGCCTGTATTTGTATTTCACATGTATGGAGTCGTACAGCACATGCTCTTTTGTGTCTGGCTTCCTTCGCTCAGCACAATGCTTTTGCTCTCCATTGATGATGCTGCTCGTATCAGTGCACCAAAGCTTGTTTATCTGTTCACCACTGAAGGACATTTGGGTTGTTTCCAGTGTTGGACTATTACGTGCACAGCCGCCCAAGTGCTGTTCAACAGCTTGGAGTGGGAGGGTAGAGGGGAGTTGGGGGAGGGAAGAGAAAGGGGCACAGAGAAACTTTTGGAAGTAACGGACGTGTTCATTATCTTGACTGTGGTGATGGCTTCCTGGCTGTACATGAATGTCAAAACTTACCAAAGTGTACACTTTAAATATGTGTAGCTTATTACATGTCAATTATACCTTAATAAATCTTTTTTTAAAGTGTTCAGTGGCCCTTAGATATTGTTTTAGTCTCTTGAGGCTTTATTCACATGAAAGTTTATGGGAAATTCAATATATAGAGAGATAAAGTCAGAGTTGATTCTGTTAAATGGTGATTAAATGGTGGGTTTCTAGGCCCCACCCACTCAGCTTCCTCCTGCCCCTCACAGTGCCCCTGAGCCATCTCCCCAAGGTTCCACAGAAGCCAATTTGAAAAACACTGACCTGGAGGGTCTCTGATGGCCCTGCCAGCTCTGTGTGTTGATGGAAGAAGAACCTCCAGGCCTGGGTCTGGCCTTCCTGCCAGTCTCTAACCTTCCTCACAGCATGGGTCTTACACACAACTATTTTCTATCGCACAACCATGGGACAGGCACCAACTCACCTTGACGCCTCAGCCAGCAGTCACCTCCCCAGTAAAGTGTGGCAGGAGCTCCACAGAGAGTCTTAATGTGTCTTCCTCGGGCTCCAGCTGCTTCCAAGGGTGGCTCTCACCCACTGTGCTGCCTTTAGTCGTTGTTATCTACCCGTCCACCACTGATAACTTCCTGAAGCAGGGATGACATTTCCATGCCTGGGTCACAGTGCCCAGCACCCAGCCCGGCCCAAGGCAGGTCATCAGCACAGGTTGATCGAACGCATCTCAGCTCAGCCCCTCCTGAAAAGTGCCGACCAGAGCCCAAAATCTTTCCTTGACTCTCTAAGGGCCTCAGTCACTGGGCCCTCGATTGCCTCTCTAGCTTCATCTCCTCCATCCCTCACCCCACCTGCTTAAGCCACTGGCTTCCTTGCTGCCTCTCAGAAGTGTCAGGAATGCCCCCCACTTGGGGTCTTAGCGCTTGCCCAAATCCCAAAAGGGTTCTGTCCAAATCCTCTTCTTCACTATATTTAATTGGCTCCTCTCTCACTGCATTCAGACATCTGCTCAAACATCACCTTCTTAGAGAGGCTTCCTCCAATCTGAAGTAGCTCTTCCGACACATCACCATTTGTCCCCTACCCACCTTACTTTATTTTCCTAGTACTTACGACTACCTGACTGTCAAGGAGTCCCCTCCACACCCCATCACATAGGGAATCAAAGCGCCACTGTGCTGGGGCAGGGGCTCCATAAAGCCATGTACTTCCTGCTCTTTCTAAGCAAGATATAGTTTGGTCTGCAATGAGAAGGATTTAGGTTAGACAGGGAGTAGGCCTCTGTTGTCCCAGATGTCATACCAGTGAGCACACTGTGGAATCATGGTCTGACACCCCCACCACACTGAGTTGATCAGTGATGTCTGATTCATCTGGTTCTCAGGGTGGGGCATTGGATCTGCCCTAGGAAATGAGGAATGAATCACTGCTGAGAACAAATGGATGGATGTAACCAATTCATTCATTCATTCAACAAATATGCATTGAGCAACTACTATGTACTAGGCACTTTTTAAAGTGCTGGACATACAAACTGAGAAAATCTTTTCCCTCGTGTATTTTATGATCTAGTTGGAGAGACAGACAATGCGCAGGTAATTATATAACTGTTGGGGAAGCAAGCTGCCATGGGCCCTGAGTCCCTGCAAGTTCTTGCTGGGCATGCCAAGAAAGCAAGGCCCTGAAAGCTCTTTACCCAAGACATTTCTTAGGGTTGTGTTTACAGCTAGCAACCTTGAGGGATGAGGTAATATCTCCCCCCAGACAAAGAATAGGCATGCCTACCACTCACCATAAAAGCAGTGAATCTCTCATCTCTGTGTTCCTATCCTATAATGCCATCCATAAGGTATACAGGCAAATGTGATGGGTTCTTTGCAGGGCTTGGGGGACATGGGAAACTGACACAAACAAATGTAAAGCCCCAGCTACTGCCTTTATCATGAGTAATAATGTCCTTTGTCCCTTACCCAGGAGTTTCAAGACTTCTGCAGCATCCCTGAAAAGGTAACAAACTATTGTTAAACAGAAATAAACAGTAACAGTTGATTAGTTTGTAAAATCTCAGATGCTGCAAAGCTCTAGACATGATGTGAAGATTAGTGCTATTGAGAAAAATGAGCTGAAAAGGGGAGAGTGGGATGATGGGAAGGCTTGCTATTTTAGATAGAGTCATTAAGAAAGGCCCCTCTGAAAAGGCGATATTGCAGAAAGACACATGAGTTAAATAAGGGGAAAAGCCAGGTGACTATTCGGGAGAAGAGCATTTCAGCCAGAGGCAATCAGAGGGGCAGATGCCCTAGAGTGGGTGATAGAGGCAGAAGAGCAGAAGATGAGGTCGGAGGGGTGGTCAGAACACACAGAGCTTCAAAGGCCATGTAAGGCTTTTGCAATGTATTCTGAGTAAGAAGGGAACTCTTGGTGGGTTTTGACTAGAGAAGTGGCCTGCCCTGATTTCTGTTTTAAAAGGCTGACTCTGATTGCTGTGTCGAGAATAGCTGGTAGCGCCGGAGACCAAGGTGGAAGCAGGGAGCTGGTGAGAAAGCTGTTACAACAGACCTGACTGAGAGATGACAGCGGCTTATCCTGGTGGTGGAATGGAGGTAGTGAGAAACGGTCAGCCTCTAGATACATTTTAAGAATAGAACCCACAGGCTTGCTTACGAATTGGATGTGAGGTGCGGAGAAGAGGAGGCAAGAATGACCCAAGCTTTTGTTCAGCAGCTGCAAGGACTGAGTCAACTGAGATGGAGATGTGGGAGGGACAAGAAAGGAGTCAAGAGCATTGTGAATGGGCATGAATAAGCCACTGATCATCTTCTTTGTCCCAGGAATGAAATAAAAGTCCTGCCCTGAAGGCACCACCTATGTGCCTAGGATCAGCGATGGAACCTCCCCTCAGAAAAGGAGGTAGCTGTTCCTTTAAGAGAACGTCGCCCCGCCTCCACCAAGCCCCGCCCAGGCAGTGTCTCGTGCCCCGCGATCACGCACAAGGGGCGGGCCACAGGGCAGTTTGAAAGCCACGCGCGCGCCGCAGGAGCGGCGGTTTGGCCTGTCGCTGGGATGTCGGTGTTGCGGCCGCTGGACAAGCTGCCTGGCCTGAACACGGCCACCATCTTGGTAGGTGTCAACAGTCCCACTTCCCCCAGCCGCATTTCCTCCTTGACTGCGCCGCAGCCTCCGGGTAACGAGGTCTCTCTGTGATGCTGGCTTGGGCAATCTGAGGAGTGTGGTGGGCGGAGGAGCCATGCCCCGAACCAATCGGAGTAGCCGCCCTCTTTAGGCTGAAGGACGTCTCCACCAATACGTGCGCGGCGGGCTCTTTCCCAGTTTCTGATTGGTGGGGCGGCTGGGCGGGGAGACCGTGAGCCGACTGGGTGCCCGGTTTCCGAGACTCGGTTTTCCCGCTTCTCAGAGTCCGACCTACCGGAGAGACAAGGCCGTCCCAGGGGGGTCCGGGGAGGTAATGAGTGCTGTCCGGACAGGACCGGAGCGGGTGCAAATCTTAGGCTCTCACCCGTGCCTGGCGGAGCCCTCTTGGTAAAGGGCGACTCGCGTGCCGGAGCCGGAATCTGGAGTCGCAGCCGTCTCGGGTCTGTGGCCTGATCCCCAGGCCTTCCAGCGGTTCTACTGTGCCGAGGTGTCAGTCGGCTGCTTTCTCTCTCTGGGCAGCTGGTGGGCACGGACGATGTTCTTCTGCAGCAGCTGGCCGGTTCGATGCTCAAGGAGGACTGCGCCTCGGAGCTCAAGGTGTAAGTAGTCTTATGCCCAGGGTTGGGGGGTGGGATGGGGACTGTAGCCTGGGCGGGGAGGGGGGTGCGGGGGAAAGCGGGCCGCCAGAGAGGCAGGCATAGGTGTGACTGGCAGGGTGGCCAACCCCTCGGAGTCTCTGTCCTAACACTTGATCTGTCCCTCTGAGATATCCTCCATCACTCTGCAACATACTTGTTCTATTTTCCTCTAGGACTTGTCACCATAAGAAATTTCTTTGTTCACATGTTTGTTTACTTGTTTCCATTCTGATACCTGAGGGCCCCAAGGCCAGCCCCTTGAGGGCAAGGACTTTGACTTTTGCTCAATGGTGTATCCCCAGTACCTTGAGCAGTACTTGACACAGAGTAGATGCTCAGATACTCCCAGATTTGGAGAAAAGGTGACTAAAGAAGTCTGTTTTGCTTTCTTTTTTCTAACTAGTGGGGAGTAGAAGCTGCTGGCGGGAGTCAAGTGACTGAATATATGTGGGTATCATTCACCATAATAGATAACTCCAGGGGTCCATGTTTAAGGAGAATGATCCAAATCTGAGGGTATTTACCCCATGGGAACTGGCAATGCCCCTTAGTAGGTAGAATAAACCCTGGTTGAGCACTTTAACGAATCTCTGATAAGGGAACATAATCTTTCCCTCAAAATAAAGCTTGTTCATAGGTCCATCTTTGCTCTTCCTATCTTGCCAGGCTCTTAGGCTATAGAACGTCAAACATAATAACCAATAATTTCAAACCCGTAGCTCAAAAGTAGGAAAGGGTAAAAAAAATGATTCATTTAATTAACGTCAGAGTAAATGGAAAATGTGGACAAAATTGCCTACATTGAGCCAGATGGAAAGAAGTGTCATGGAAACCACTGCCAAAAAAGAGCAAGTCACATGACATGCAAAAATCCGATGAAGAACCCACTCTGGAAAAAGGAGAAGAAATCTCTTTGTTGAGTGCTTTGTGCCATTGAGAAATTTAATAATAACATGGATTTTTTAAAAAAAGCACTCAAAGACTAAATGATAAAACAACAGAATGAGACGAAAGGGAGGTTGCAGAGCTAAGGGCAAAAAAAAGGTCAAAAATTAATACCATATGAGATCTATCTAGTAAATACAGAGGAACAGCAAGATCAGAGTAGATGTGCTTGAAATTTTAATTCTTTACAAAGAAGAAAGATTTGAAAAAAGTCACAGCAGAAGTGTTCAAAATGTAAGAGAAGAAAACTTCCCTGGAGTGAGTGAAGAGTGAATTTGTTCATTAAAAAGGGTACATATATCTTGTTCCAGGAAAAATGGGCACAGAACACTTTATGTCAAGTTATATCCTAGTTAAGTTATTGAACGTTAAGAGTAAATAATTCTTCAGACTTTTTGGCAGGAAAAATAAATCACCCATATGGTCACCTGTTTATTCTATTGCCAAATATTTCCAGCTCTCTGAATTTGGAGCATTTAGCAGGAACCAGGATTGCTGTTTTTGACCTTTTGTGGTTGTATTGGGTTGTATGACCTGTTGTGGTTGTATGGTTGTGTGTGACTAGTTCTGGCCAATGAGCTGGAAGCAAAAATGATTGTCTCTGTATTGCTGAAGTATTTAATTGCCAGTGGGAGACCTTCCTCAATACCTTCTGCCTCTCCTGTGGCAACCAGCAGTGTTCTAGAGTGACAGCTTCATCAGCTGAGGTCCAAAGTTATGGTTAGAGCAGAATACAAATCTGTATCATAATAACAATAATAATAATACAAATGTATGTTTGTAAGTCTTGTTCAAATGGAAGGATAAATTTATAAGAATGTTAAATTTCTCACTTTTCTTAATAGAGAATCAATCCAGTATAGATAAAATTAAAAACATATAGTTAAAAATAATACCAATGTACTAATTTTTTCATAATCTTTTTAAATTGGATTCTTTCAGGAAGTAATTTCTTATGAATAAAAAATAATTTATCTAAAGTTCATCTTTTTTTCAGTTCTACTTTAGTTATTTTGCTTCCACTAAATTCAAATAAAATTAATACTATTATCCTTTTTAAAATTATGTCTACTGTATTCTGGTATCTGAATGTGTATATGTTATGTACATGGAGAGATGTTTAGAAAAATGTTCTAATGTTAACAGTAGTAGTATCTAGGTAACTGGACTTTTAGGAGTATACTTTTTTTTAAACTTTTCTGGTTTTTATACTTTTTGGTATTCTTGAATTATAAGCTATGGGGTGGGGGCAGATGGGTAATAGGAATATGTGGAAATGGGGAGAAGTAGAGGGTTAAAAAAAAGAACTTTCAGGTGGTATTCAACAATCTGAAACCAAGTCAGACAAGAAGGATGAGGGTGACTTGTCCAAGGTCACACAGCTGATCATTGTCACATCTGGGATTTGGGCCCCCTTCTATCTGACTCCAGAGGGCTTCAGTCTTAACCCCTAAGTTTCACAGTCCAGCATCCCCTCTTCCAAGCCTGGTCTCCCTCGCAGCGTGCAGTGTAGATGGCTAGCCTCATGCCATCTTCTATCCCAAACTCCCTCTTGCCAAGGCAGTTAACTAAATGTCCTGGCAGGGGAATAAAGCAGGAGCAATCTGGATGGGACCAGCTCTGCTCTACCCCTGTGCTCACCTGAGAAGTGTTGCCCATAAGAGCTTCAGCTGAATAGGTGAGGAGCGCTTGGCAGCCTCTTCCCCAGTGAAGGGTAGCATGTGAATGAATGCTGCTTATGATGTGGGTACACATATCTTTAGTCCTGCAATTCCTTGTTTTCCAGCCACTTGGCAAAGTCCCTCCCGCTGCCCTCCAATGTGAACCGGCCCCGAATTGACTTGATTGTGTTCGTGGTCAACCTTCACAGCCAACACAGGTGAGAGCCAGAGGATGTCAGGGCTCAGGCAGACCTGGCTTAGGGATGTGCTGGGATGGTGACCTCACTTGTGATGGGAAGGAGAGAAGACGAAGAGGTTGCCTGGAGTTAACCTAGAGAGTGAGGAGTGGGGAGCCAGTGGCCAATGCAAGATGTTTAAAAGACATTGATAAATCCCAGCAGTGTCATCTGTCACTTAGCTAAAGCTCTCTGAGGTCACTCTGTGTCCCTGATAGCAGGCACAGACATAAGTGAAACATAAGGTGCTCCTAGTCCCTTAGGGGAAGAAGCTAGACTTTTGAGCAGACAGTTACAGTCCCTGGGATATGTACTGCAAAAGAAGGAAGCATTGGGCTGTGTGAGCCCAAACAAGACTCTCAGAATTTAGGTCAGGGTAGACTTTCTAGTGGAGGTGACATCTAAATAGACACCTGAAAGATGAGATGGCTCTTTGGCCAGGAGACAACAGATTCCTTCATCACTCCCTAGACACCGTTGAATGAAATCCTTAGCCCAGAAGGTCCGAGTACCCTTGTTGAGGGGAAAAGTGTGTTTTCATACAATTGATATGACTGAATCACTGTAACCTTATTGGAAAGCAATTTGGCGATACTTAATCTACACTGAAAGAAGTGTAGACATACTGTGACCCAGCCATTCCACTGCTAGCATCTGTTCTGCAGAAACATTTGCTTGAATGTGTAAGGATATGTGTAAAAGAATGTTCATGCACACAAATGAGCTTGTTTACAAAACAGAAAGACTCACAGACATAGGAAACAAACTTATGGTTACCAAAAGGAAAAGGGGGGGATAAATTAGGAGTTTGAGATTAGCAGGTACAAAGTACTATAGACAAATAGATAAACAACAGGATCCTACTATAGAGCGTAGGGAGCTATATTCAATAGCTTTTAATAACCTATAATGAAAAACAATATATGTATGTATAACTGAATCAGTATGTGGTACACTGGAAACTAACACAACATTGTAAATCAACTCCACTTCAATTTTTCTTTTTCTTTTTTTTTAAGTTTTCTTTTTTTGGGGGGTGGGTAATCAGATTTATTTATTTACTAATTTTTTGGAGGCAGTACTGGGGATTGAACCCAGGTCCTTGCGCATGCTAAGCATGTACTGTACCGCTTGAGCTATACCCTCCTCCCTCCACTTCCATTTTTCGAAAAAGAAAGGACCAAAAATGTTCATGCAGCATTGTTTGTAATGGTGAAAAACCATTTAAGGGTCCAACACAGGGAAAATAGTCAGTTTGTGGTTCTGCGTGGTCATTCCAGAGAAAGTAACAGGACATCGAACCCAAGTAGACCCAGCTAGATGCTTATACATATCGCTGTCTGTATTTTCATATGAAAAAAATTCCAGAAGAATTACACAATTAAACAAACTGTTGGTGGCAGTTATCTCTGGGGATCTGAGACTGGAGGGTGGTGCTGGAGGCCAGGGACTTTTACTTTCTACTTACACACCCATATTTACTATTTGATTATTTTACAAACAAGTCACTTTGTAATTAAAAGTAGTTTTAAGAAATGAAAGGACAGTTGTGTGTGGGGAGGTGGTGTAGTAGATCAAAGGTGGAGTATGTGCTTAGCATGCAGAAGGTCCTGGCTTCAACCCCCAGCACCTCCACTAAAAAAATAAGTAAGTAAAAATGAGTAAGTAAGTAGATAAACAAATAAATAAATAACTCCCCCCAAAAAAAAGTTATTTAAAAAAAATGGAAGGACAGAGTATGCCTCTAGGGCTATTTCCCATCACCCTCATCTCATCCTCTGGCCTCTGTGGGATCAGAGTGGGGGCCTCTGCTTTCCCTGTTGGAAGGTTTGTCCTCCGGTTTGTTTTCTTGCCCTGGCCTGGCCTCCCAGCCTCCGGAACGTAGAGGAGTCCCTGCACCATGTGGATGCCAGCTTCTTCCTGGGGAAGGTGAGCTTCCTCGCCACAGGCGGTAAGTCCATCCCTCTTCTCCGGTGCTGCCCACCCTAACCCAGGGTGAGCCGTGGCTGGACCTGTGGGAGGCCCCTCGCTAAGGCAGCCTGGGTGATGGAAAGAACATGGGCTTTGGGATCTGACCTGTTGTTGGTCTTTATAAAGCGAGTCTGAGCTGATCATTCTCCCAGGTTAATTCTGCTGAGATAATTGCTCAGAGGTGCCTAATGACTCTCTCTGGCTTTCAGAGTAAAATCCAAACTCCTGTAAAGGCACAGAGTATTTCGCAGTTTGGCCTCTGCCTTCCTGTCCCGTCTCATCTATTACTCCTCCATTCTTTGGTTCAGCTTATAGTTCTCTGAACAAGTCCTGCTGTCCCTGAGACTGTAATGTTAACAAGGGAAATGATACTAGCTCACCTGTATTGAACACTCCATGCACCCCAGACACTGCTTTGTTTCTGTATCACTTAACCTTCACAACAAACAACCCTGGGAGGTGGGTACCATTTTCTCTATTCTACAGCTGAGGAAACTGTGGCCGCGAGGTTAGGTAACTTGCCCAAGGCCCACAGCTATAAACGGGTAAGAGCAGAGATTCACACTTAGAAGTCATATTCCAGAGCCTGTGCCTTTAATGGTTATACGGTGTGGCTTCTCTCAAATACTTTTCCTCTTTGTCTGCCTAACCACTATTTTCTGTCTCCTGGGGGATGCCTTCCTGACCAGCCCTACAGTCTGGGCCACTGGGGCTTCCATCCTCCACATGTCTCTGCCAGAGACTCCCCACCTTTCTGCCTCCACTGACGGCATGTCTGCCCCCCAGCTGCACTGTGACTCCTTGGTAAATGAATGAACGCCAGGTCATTTCTATATATTAATTCATTGAATCTCTATAGTAACTCAGTGGGGAAGAGGCTGTTACTAACCTCATCTGAGAGGTGAGGAAACTCGTATTTTCATAGAGGACTCTATCAAAGCCTCTTCAGCCTTGTTTTCTGATTTGATGATCTTGACTGCCCTGAAAAGGTAGAACAGTATTGCCCCCCCACTGACTGGTAAGAAACTGAGGCCCAGAGGGGGGAGGTGAATTTCTTCGCCCAGTGCTCCCTAGATTACAGCCATGCGGGTGGGGATTATGGGCTGTGTCTTCTCTGCAGCCGGGCAGGAGAGCCACTGCAGCATTCACCGGAACACCGTCGTGAAGCTGGCCCACACCTACCGCAGCCCCCTGCTCTTCTGTGACCTGGAGGTGAGGACGCTGCTCACGTGGCAGGGCCGGGGCAGTCAGCACACAGTAGACATGACAGGAATGATGCTTCTTGGAGGCTCGCCGAGTACCTGAGTGAAAGGGCACTAGATGTGGAGACAAGACCCCTGTTTGAATCCTGGCTTTTGCGCTCACTGTCCTTGGGTGGGTCACCGTGAGTAAGCCTTGGGGTGCACACACGTAAAGCAGGGTGACGCTGGTTGGATACATAGGTGTCGGTTCTGCCCTGACTCGCTTCGGCTGGTGTTTCTCACAAGGTGAATCCTAATTGCGCAGGTAGCAAAGCAGATTTCTATTTTGCTGATGAATTTTGCTCCTCAGCCTCTTTCTGCAGCATGGATCTTGGTGACTTTCTGCTAAAGGATGCTCAGCAGGAGTTGCCGCTGCTCCCTCTGGGAGGCCAGCTAAGGGTTCCCAGGGCCTGGGCTGCCCCATCTGTGCACCAGGCATTGTCAGTTGGTTTCGGGGTCTGTCTGTTGGTTTTGAGGTTCATTTTAAAGATTTGTGTTTCTGTTCTGTTCTGGATCTTGCACCTGTTCCCAAAGGCAAAGTGATAACCTTCGAGGGAACTGAGTCAGCATGTGGTCCCTCAGCACCATCTAACCAGGAGTTCTTACTCTGGGGTCTCTGGCCTCCTCTGTTCTGAAGGGAGAATTCAGGGGATTTGTGAACTTGGACGAGAAAAAGATTACTTCTTATTTTCACTAACCTCTAAGTGAAATTTAGCATTATGAATGTAGGCAAGAGATATCAGTAGTATTAGCAGAACCTGTGACTCTTAGCGATAGAAACACAGGCATTGCCACAGCTCACAGGGATGGGGGCAGCTCTCATTGCTATTCAGCAGTGCAGAAGTCATTAGACTGAGCTAGATGCCTTCATTCAGTGCATCGGTAAAGATGCACATACTGCTCCATCACAAGTTGGTGTTTCATATTTGATGACTGTTTTAAGAACCCCGACCAGACCAATGCTCTGATCTCACAGATAGGACCTGAGGTCCCTGGCATGCCTGAATTACCTGCCCCTGCCAGACTTTTCTCGTATCAGAAGAAGCAGAGGAGAGGGCATAACTCAAGCAGTAGAGTGCGTGCTTAGCATGCACCAGGTCCTGGAGTCAATCCCCAGTATCTCCTCAAAAAATAAAAATAAATAAGTAACCCTAATTACTTGCCCCACCTCACCGCCCCAAGAAAAGAAGAGGTGACTTGCTCACAGTCACACAGCTCGTAAGTTAGCAAAGAGTCAGGTTGGTTGGCAGCTGTCTCTTTCCATCTTAGCGAGCTGACTGTGTGTCTTTGAATAAGTCACTACCACCCACCAAACCCCCCCTTCCTTTTCTTATCTCTAAAAGGGAATCACGATCTACTCCAGCTGAGGTGCCACTTACCTTTGTGATGGGTGGTGCAGTTCTGCATATAGCCACGAGGTGGCAGTCTGTACCTGGTCCTGGGTTGTCCTCTAGCCCAAGAACTTCTCTCAAAAAACGTCTGTGTCGCACTTCCTATTTCCAGCCAGCAGCAGGCCTGCTGAGAGCCTAGACCCAGCATTCTCTCATAAGAGGCACCCAGTGTTTGGACAGTCAACATTCCTCGTATCTGTTTTGTCCTTTTTGGGGTGCACTTCTCTGTAGAATCAAATTTGAGCCTGGCCATATTTTGAGGCCTTTGCATGGCAGAAATAATTGGCTCCTTTTTTACAGATGAGGAAACACACCCAAGGAGGTGTGGGATTCGCCCAGTGAAGTTATTCCCCAACGCCATTGATAGGGCCCTGTGCTGGTCGCTGAGAACACAGATGCCTCAGACATTGGCCCTGCCTCTCAGCATGGAGTGCGATAGCCTGGCGTGTGATAAGTGCAGCAGCAGAGGGTCTGCAGAGCTTTGGGAGCCTGGCAGTGGATTCAGTCTTTTCTTCCTGGAGGTGATGGGGCAGTTGTGATGTGGTCCGATGTGGGTTTTGGGGCCACGTCTCTGGAATATGATGTGTGGATTGGAAGAGGCCTGGCCAGAGGCAGCAGCAGCTTGTAGATATGTTTTGGAGGCTCTGTGCCCCAATACTGAATTGAAATCTGGAGACAAAGTCTTGGGTGAAGTAGAAAAGAATAGCTTTATATCTTGGCCAGGGAAACAGGATCACAGGAGGCTAATGCCTCAAGACTGTGAACCCATCTTGGAGAGGGGTAGTAGGGAGTTTCAGAGTAAGAGTCCAAGGAACAGAGCTTCTGATAAACATCTGTGCTGGGCAGGGGCTGCATTCCTTCCTTCCAGATGCCTTTGGTAATCGCTGTGCTGGCGTCACTGAGGTCTGGAGACAGAGCCTCCCGCCCTGGGGGTTAATCAAACAGTGATTTCTCTATCTTGGTGTCTGGAACAAAGGGTACTCAAGGGGGAGGGAGAATGCTCTAGGCAAAGGGAAATATGTACAGTTTAGAAGCAGGCTAGAGTGTGCTTTAGCATGAGGGAAGCCATTTTAGGTTACTACTATGCAGTTACAAATATTGTGTGGTTGCAAATGCCCCACTGTTAATCTGCTCCTTCCATTTGATGGTGGTGTTTTGGCATCTGTAAAACTCAGGAAGTATGTATGAGATACTGTTATGTAGGTACTTCTGAGAGAAGCTACAGCAGAGCCTACGGGGAAGGGATCTGTCCCAGGAAGGCCTTATAGGGTCTTATAAAAGGCCACAGAACTTAGAGTAAGAAGATTTATTCAGCAAGTATTTCTTAAGTGCCAAGCATTATTCTAGACACGAGATGTAACAGAGAGCAAAACAGGTTTAAAGCTCTCACCTCTGTTCTAGTGGAGGAAACAGTAGAGGTAGAATATGTGCTGTGTTAGAGAATGGAGACTGACGTGTCAGGTGGTGGTGAAGCACTAAGGTTTAGATGGGAGTGGAGGAGGAGGCGCACTAAAAACAGTGATCCTTATGTAGACGTGATGGAAGGTGCCATGGAGCCTCCTGGTGGAAGAGCCCACTAGGTTGGAGAAACAGCAAGTGCAAAGGCCCTGAGTTTGGAATCTGCCTGTTGTGTACAAGGTCCACAGGGAGGCACGGCACCTGGAACGGAGCTGGGGGAGATGAGTCAGCGTGACAGTGGGGCCAGATCAGTAGGGCTTTGTGGGTTTTAGTAAGAATAGTGGCTTTCGCTGAGTAAAACTGGAACAGTGGAGGGTGTGGGGCCAGGGAAGGATGCAGCCTGACTTGGGTTTTTATGGGTCCCTCCACCTGTTGGGAAGGAGAGTACGCTGATGGGGAGGCAAGGGCAGAAATAGGAAGATAGGCCTGGGGACTGTATCTGGAAGAGTTCTGAGTGGCCTGGACTCAGTGGTGTCCAGGGAAGAGGAAGATGTGATGGTCTGTGATGCTGGGTGTTTCTAGATGGGCCCAACAGATATGCTGGTGGCCTGGATGCGAGATGTGGGAGGAAGAAGGGTCAGGGTCGTCTCTGGAGTTTTCAGCCTGAGCAACTGGAAGGACAGAGGTGCCTGTGGCTGAGACGGGGACGACTGAAGGTTTGGGGACTCCTAGGAACTCTGACTTGGACATACAAAGACGGAGGTGTCTGTTAGACATCTACACAGAAACCGAGCAGGCAGCGGCATACGTGTGTCTGACATTCAAAGTGTCTGGAGATGCAGTTTGAGCATCATCCTGGAGGTAGATGAGGTCACCCGGGGACTGAGTGTGCAGAGAAGATCTGCAAAGGCCAAGCCCTCGGGCCCCAGCACTTAGATGCTGGACAAATGAGCGAGCGGCCTGTGAGATAGGAGGAAAAGCCGGGTGAGGGTGGGGTCCTGGGAGCCAGGCAGAAAAAGCCTTTCAAGGAGGGAGGAAGCAGCTGCATCAGATTCTGCTGAGAGGAGAATCTCAGGGAGAATGAGGCCAGTGTGATGAGGACAAGGTGTTACCTCTGGATTTACAACTGAGGACGTCATGGGTGACAAATGGTGGAGTAAGAGCAGGAGGACTTGAGGATGCCTGGTCTCTGGCTTGGGTGACTGGTGTTGGTGATACCCCTTCCCCAGTTAGAGAGCAACAGGAGGAGGAGGGGATGCTTCTGACACCACCCGTTCGTCAGGGGAGGACATCTGAACATCATTGTTTGTTCTTCAACAAACATTCATGGAGCATCTCATTTGCCTGCAGTAGCTGGTACCGAGCCCTAGGGCGGTCTTGCCCTGCCCAATCCCACAGCTCCTCTGGGCCCACCAGCCCTTCAAAGGCCCTGACATGGGAACTGTTTGTTGATAGTGCCTCCCTGTCCCCAGTGAGGCCACCCTCTGTCCATCCCTCCTTTCCATCCCTGTGAGTGTCCTTCTCAGGTCGCTGGTAAGGGAGTCTTGGGAGCCTTTGGAGCCTGTGCTCCCAGGCGTTGGTTGAGACTAGCCCCTGCTCACTGTGTGCCTCTGGACAGTTCACCTAACCTCGCCAGCCCTTCATTTCTTAAGGAGCCAGGGCGTGGCCACAATGGCAGTTCCCCCATCCAGCCCCCAGCCCCGCTCTGGAAGCCCTCGGAACTGCCCCGAGTAAGGGGAGCAGGCCGCCTCACCGCTTTTCTCTGCTCTTCCTCTGCAGGTAGAAGGCTTTCGAACCACCATGGCGCAGCGCCTGGTCCGCATGCTGCAGATCTGCGCGGGCCACGTGCCCGGCGTCTCCGCCCTGAACCTGCTGTCCCTGCTGAGGAGCACTGAGAACCCCTCCCTGGAGGACCTGTGAGGGCCACGAGCCCCCGGGCTGCCTGTCCCCACAGCTTGGTGCCTGACTCAGTAACACTTGCTCGCTGTGGCTGGAGCGCACGCCAGGGCTTGACCGGCAGCTCCCTGGGGACAAATTCCTCCGCCCGGCCGGAACGCGGAGCGGTGGGGGCCCGGCTGGTGGGACTCCAGCCTCCCTCCCACTCCTTTCCCCACCCCCGCAGAGCCCAGTGTCTCCATCCATCTGACATGTGAATCTCCTCTTAAGACTGCATGTGAACAAAGGGTCTGTAGCTAAAAAAAGTGAAAATCACTGGCCTCGTCTACCACTTTGATTTCGTAGATGAGGAGACTGACTCAGAATAATTAAGAACCAGGCCAGGGGAGTAGGACTCCCGATCTGACCCCACATCCTGGCCTCGCCGTTCTTACAGGACCTGGTTGTGGCCTGCTAGAGCCTGGTTTCCCCAGGTTTAAGTGGAGGTTGTTCTCCTCAGCTTGCTGCGTTGTGAGGACTGAATGCAATGGCAAAGGTGGAAGCCTGAGGCTGTGCCACGCCTGTGCTCGTGTGTGCTTGAATGTATTTCATAATAAATGTGGTAATGCTTGGACGGTGCCAGGTTACCACTCAATAAACAGTGATAAGATCTATTATTTGAAATCACACAGAACTAAGTTCAAAAACTGGTGTAAATCCAGGAATTACACTGTGAATCCTTAAGTTTGTGAGAATCAAGTGAGAGAATCTGGCTGGAGGCCTGGTTTCTGGGTTGGCAGCTGGAGATTGTGCAGTGACTTTTGCTTTCCTTCTCTTTTGGGTCTAATTAGAATTTGTGGAATTGCCGGGGGGTTAGCATCCAGAAATCCCGTCGGCCAGGTCTGGGCTCAGGCTGCTCCCCTGTGGCTGGGCAGTCACACGGGAGCTGGGGGGAGGGGAGGCCTGGTGGGAGAGGCCTCAGGATCTTAGGGAGCCAGGGCCTGGCTCCTTCCACCCCACCCTGCTTGTGCCCTGGCCTCCATCCTCAGGCCTCAGGGCCATCCCTGCTTGATGCCCTGGACAGTGGCAGCACCACAGGGCCCCTGCTTTGATATCATCATGGCAACTGCAACTCACAGTCTTCACTGAGGATGGGCCAACCTGGAAACTCGGTGCAGGTGTCATGAGGGTAGGGCCTGCCTTTCTCTCCTTGGGGTCCTTCCAGCCCTGGCCCGACGCCCCACTACCAGCGCTCAATAAGGGTTGCAGACGCCTGGCTGGCTTCCAGGCAACCCCCAGGGCCCGCCAAGAACCTCAGCTTTGGGGATTCCAGTTCAGTCCCGGGCATCACCTGATGTTCGCCGAGCTTCGTGCCTCACTCCTGCCGCCCTCCCGGCAGACCTGTGAGGTTGACCGTATTTCCTCATTTCGGTTGGCATCAGAGGTGTGCCCACGCTCACGTAGCTAATCGGATGTAGAGCCAACCTCTGGCCCTGGTCCTCTGCTTTATCTCTCTGGTTGTTCTTTCATGCATCTGATCGTTGAACCGAGGTTTGGGCATCTCTACTGGGCAGACCCTGAGCTGGGAACATAGGAATGGTGGACACGTGCCAGAGAAAGCAGCCGTTTGGAAGGGCGGTCCCTTAAAGTGCCATTCCCACCAGTTGGGTCCCCTTAGCACAGGAGGCTTCATGGAGGGGAGGGCGGTGAGCAGGTAGGAGCACTGGGAAGAGGAAGGTGCGGGCCTGGGGCTGGAGCAGGCCTGGGGCCAGCACAAGGGCTGCCCAAGAACTCCCTTGGCATTTGGGAAGGGAGGCCAGCTTCTGTGCTGAGGTTGGGGGTGGGTCCGGGTTAAAGGAAGAGGCTGGTGGTGAGCATCAAGGTGTGCATTGGTCTCAGGGGATGGGCAGGATCGGCAGAGGTCCAGAAGGCCCGCCTTCTCCAAGGGCCCGCGGCTCCTAGAAACCAGCATTGTTTTCAGCCCTTCAGGAGCCTGGGCCATAAAAGGTGGGGCTTTGCAGGGCCATGTAGAGGGCAAGTGGAGGGTAGGGTAGGTCTTTGGAGCCTGGTGTCCAAGAGTCGTGGTGTGGGCACAGCCTGCCTGCCTCTTCTGGGCTTGTTACTTTTGGCTGGAGACAAGGGGGGTCCTCCCCATACCCCCTCCCCTCTCTGCCAGCCAGCATGGGGCACTCTCTCTCTCCGGTCCTTGTGCCATGTTTTCTTCGCCACCTGGTGCCATTTAACAAGAGAAATGGCATCACATTCTCCAGCCAAGGACCTGGGAGCCTTCCAAGTGCTGGGGGAGCACAATGCTGTCACTGCTGCCAGCTCCAGCGAGCTTGGCAGGGGCCCGGCAACTGAGAGGCCGCCTCTGCCTCACAGCAGAGCTGAGCAGCCCCTGAAGGGCTGCCGGCCATCCTCAAGCCTGCTGCCCCGGCCCAGGAGTGGAGGCCAGTGACACCATCTAGGAGACAGTTTGACTGAGGGAAGTAATGGAAGACCAATCTTTATGCCCCGTGGAGCTCAGAATGGGTGCTTGGTGCTGTGGTGGGTGGAAGGAGACGGGAGAGGCTGTGGTGGGTGGAGGGAGACGGGAGAGGCTGTGGTGGGCTGCTTACTGATCCCACGACATCAGGCAGGTCACCTATCCTTGATGTGCCTCAGTTTCCTTGTCCATAGAATGGGATCAGGCTAATTGATGCCCTTTTTCCCAGCTGGTTGTGAGGACTGAGAATGAGAAGCTGTTATTTTAAACTTAAAGCAAATGTAAGACTTCTTAGGCTGGCCATGGTTACAGTGTGGTCACTTTGGAGGCAATTACTGAGGGTAGGCACCATCCCCTAGGCTGCAGATCCGAGTGGATGGGCAGTCTGAGGCTCCTGGAGGAGGTGCTCTTCAGCTGGGCCTGGGAGCTGCCGCATCCATGCTCTCCAAGAGCACAGAGAAGAGTGGGATATTTGGGCCCCCACCGCGTGGATGAGACATCGAGGCTGTCAGAGGGGCAGGGCTAGTTCAAAGTTACAGGTACTTTTGTGCCCTCAGGGCACCTGGTTGTGGGCAGCCATTGAGCCCAGGCCCAAGGAACTCACATCTCACATTCAGACACAAGCATCCTGGCCCCAGTTTGACGTGTCCCAACCCTGCCCAGGAGGAAGGGCCTCCCTGCGAGGAGAGGGCTCCGCAGCATGGCACCTGTGTCTCCACCCCTCAGCGAACAGAAGCAGGGGCAGCCTGGGGCCGTGGCTAAGGCAGGGCAGCCTGGCCGCAGAGGGGAAGTGATGCAGTGGGAAAGGACCCGGCCTTTGAGTCCCACTGACTTGGAGTCTGCGGCCAACATGCAGTGTGACCTGGGGCGGCTCACTTCCCGTCCCTGAGCCCCACAGCCTGCTCCTCTTGAGATTCTTGTGGGGCTCAGAAAAACCAAATTGCCCGCCACCGCACCTGTCCCACGTAGGCCCTCCACAGACGGCGGCCCCAAGGGTGGGTTGGCTGTGCCCAGGGGTGTGGTGGGCGAGGGGAGCGTGGGATGGTCCTACATGGCAGGACTCCAGCACCAAGGGACCCTTTCCAGAAGAAACCTGCTGCCTTAGCCCCTCTCCCCTCAGTCTCCCCTGGGGCCACAAGGGCACAGGCAGAGAATCATTGTGAAAGAACCTCTCACAGACACTGGGAGAGGCTGAGGGAGACAGTGTGGTGGACTGTGCAGCCCTGGCACCCCAAATCTGTGAGTCCCGCCTGAATGTGACCCTATGGAATGAGGACCAGCTCTGGGAGGGAGAGTGGGTGGGCAGTCCCCAGTGCCCCTGACCTGGACAGAAGATAGCCTTCCTTGGGGCCCTCCGTTACATCTGGGGAGCCCTGGGAGCTAGCATCCGGTGGATGCCTGGTCTGAGTGAGTCACAGCCCTGTAAGGCCGGGCTCAGAGCGGGGGCCCTAGCACTTGGTCCTCTTCTTGCTGGATCTGACACCCACCCCTCCTCCAGTGTCATCAGCCCACAAATGTCGTATTGTAGGAATAGGAGCGCTCAGGGGCCGAGGGGCTGCCTGGCTTGTCCCTTTTCCTTCTGATCTTGCTTTGTTCTTTGTAAGGTAAGAATCACGATGCCACCTTCCCCACAGGGTTGAGGCAAGGGATGCGGGTGACAGACAGGGCCCAGGGCACTGGTCCCTGGGCCTTGCCTGCTCCTCCCCAGACATCTTCAGGGATCACTTGCACCTCTGTCCCTCTGTTCCAAGACCTCACTGGGCCTTTCCCAAGTCCATGGCCCTCCCTGCCACCCTTCCCTCGTGAATTTTTCTCCCCAGCACGTCTCACCTCCTCACCTACTATATGGTTTTACTCTTTGGGTTTTTTCTCTGTGGTTCCCTGCTGTCTCCCCAGATCCTAGAACAGTGCCTGATGCATAGCAGGTCTCAGCATCTGGTGAATGAATGGAGGTGTCGGCACATGGAGTCAGCCTGTGCACACACACAGGGCCCAAAGCCTGCAGGAGCCCAGAGCCAGCGGCAGCCTTGTCCCTCCTGTATGGTGCCCTGAATGATGCCGGAGGGAGGGGTGGCCCTGGGGAGGTTCTCTGCTCCTCCCCCTCCTCCCCACCCTGGCCCTATAGCCTCCATCCACCTTGCATACCACGAGGCCTGGCCCCCAAGGAAGTGGGGACTCCATTCCCTCTGGCTGTGGGGCTAAGGAGCTGGGTCTCTTTTCTGACCTTGCAGAGAGGGCCCACGTCCCCCAGCCGAGGGTCAGGCCAAGAGAACTGCTGGGGCTGCTCTGGCCAGCATCCTCTCGGAGTGCTGGACTGCGAGTATGTGTGTATGTGTGTGTGTCGTGTGTGTGTGTGTGTCTGTGTGTGTAGGGAAAATGGGGACCAGAGGAGAGGCAAATGGGGCTTGGGGAAGCCTGGGCAAGGATTTTATAACTGCTTTATGGAAGGGCATGACCTGCCCTTGTACAGCGTGGGTTCAGGGGGAGAGGGGCCACGGGGCTCTCTGGCCTGACCAGGATTTTGTGCTGATCTTCCTGCCTCTCCCACCCTGTCCCAGTGTCCTGAGGCCCAACATCAAATCCTTCCCACTCTCCCCGGTGAGGGGGACTTTTGGCAGTGTCCTGTATGTCAGAGCTAAATACACAAGAAAGGCAAAGGGAATCATTACTTTGGGGGCTCCAGGCTGCTATGACAAAACAAGATGAAGTGAGAGAGGCAACAGAAGCACTCAGGACAGGCCGGGGTTGGGGGGGATAGGGACAGGCCACCAGGACAATTCACACCATGGGGCCCCCTCTACTAAACGCAAACGCTTTTCTGTATGCACATACACGAGAATGTAAAAGCGAAATAATGAGACTGGGATGAAAGACTGAAGCAAAAAGAGACTCCCTCTGGGGATGGGCGGGAAAGGCCGCTGCTTACTCACAGATTTCTGTATTGTTGGAGGGTTTTTTCACAAGACTATGTTCAGGTATTACTCACAAAATTACAAATAAAACAAATTTTTAAGTACAGAACGCATGCATCCCGGGTCTCAGAGCACTTTCACATCCAGATCTGGGGGGCTGGGCCTCTATGCCCGGGGGACTAACCCCCCGCCCCAGCCCCCGGTTTGACATCAAGCTTGTCCAACAGGGTTTCCTCACTTCCCCAACCTTGTCCCTGAGGCATGAAGGGCACAGGCCACACGTCATAGCTGGCTGGACACAGACCCCGTCCAGGCCCCCTCGTACGTGCTGGGTCATCCCTTTGCCCCTCCGAGCCCCTTTTTCCCATCTGAAAAAGTGACATCATTACAGCACCTGTGTCAGAATCATTGGGAGGGTGTTTTAAGGGGTATTTTGGGGACAAAGATCAAGGAAGGCTCCCTTTCCCTGACAGACTCAAATTAATCACCTTTCTAAAAAAAACTCATTAATGAATAAAAACTTGAGAACACTGAGAGAGAGATTCAATTGGAAGGGTTTTTCAGCACAAAGTTCCTTATTTTCTGCTTGAAAATACATTGAGGTGATGATAGCAAATTATTTAAAGTAAAAACTATTGAAAGAACAAGAACAATTGTCAAGAACCAAAATGATTTTAGAAACTTAAACTCCTCTCGGTCATATCTCAGTTAAGGTGATGTAGAAGACTTGAATTTAAAAAATCAATAAACTTGGGGGTGGGTATAGCTCAGTGGTAGAGCACATACTTATCATGCACAACGTCCTGGGTTTAATCCCCAGCACCTCCACTAAAAAAAATAAATTAAAAAATAAATTAATAAACTTGACTTCAGAGCTATGTTTGAAGGGAAAAAAAAGAAAGGAAGACTACATTGAGGAATAACCTAACATTTACCACACTGGTCTGATGGTGAAATTTCGCTTCTTAACTGCTAAGTCCAAGCAGACATCTGAGGCCTACTCCTTCTCTGTTTAGGAGGCACAAGTGGGAAGGTGCTTGTCTGGAGTCAAGCACCTGCACACGTCATCCACGGTGCCTGCTGAGTCCTCAGGACCTGCCTGGTGCAGGCACGTCGAAGGCACCCAGTCAATGTGTCAAGTGAGTAGCTCCGCTTCTCCTTCGAGGTGGCCAAGGTACATGACTGGCTCTCTCCAGCTGGCTGGAGGCCTTGAGGGCCACCTCCTCTGCTCTCCACCAGAGTCAGAGCGGCCATCAGGAGACAGGCCTGGGGCAGCCCATGCAGAGGTGGCTCGTGTAAATGAGCCCAGACCTGGCCCCACCCTCTCCCAGGGAGAGGTTCCCCCTGCAGTCTCCCAAAACCCAGCCAGCATGGCCTGAACATCTGGCACACAGGTTAAGAGATGCCTGGTCCGTACTAAGGGTACTGCAGGGCTGAGGTTACAGGTCACAGCACCGCTGGTGACGGGCTGAGGACTGCGGCCCAGTCTTCTGGCCTTGCCCCCACCCCTCTGCCCCATAGGAGGGCTTTCCCTGCCCCGGCTCCTCTCCAGGCTCCTGGCTCCCCCACCCCCTCACCACACAACCACACCTACACCCACACCCACCACCCCAGACCCACTTCTCCTTTGCAGACGCCCTACCGCCTACACCTTCCTGCCATGGAGTTGCTGGCCCGTGAGCAGGGGGACAGAGAGGCAGTGGGCCACGGCTCCTCAAGACCAGCCGACTCAGGGTTCTGTGTGAGTTCTCGGGTCCCTGGAACCAGAAACCTGGGGGCCAGTCTTGCTCCCCTTACTCCATAGCATCACCCTCTCCTCCTGAACACCTGCTAGCTTGTTCCCTCACCCTGGACCATGGCGCCAGCCTCCTTGCTGCTCTGGTGGCCCTGTCCAGTCTCCAACCCCACAGCAGCCAGGGAGAGGGTCCCTTCTAAAGCACAGCTCAGAGAATGCCTCCCCCACTCAGAACCCTCCTTGCCCCAGGCCTGTGGTTGAGGCCTGACCTGGCCCATCTGCAGCCTCAGTCTCCCTCCCTCTGCAGCATCCCCTGAAGCAGTGGCCATGCCTGTCCCCAGAGCAAGCTTCCCCTTTCCCCTCTCCATGCATTTGCCCTTGCCTGTCCTGTTCCTCTGCCTGGAAGTTTAGCCCCTTAAGCGGCTAAAGATCTATTCCTGCCCCTAAGCCCCCTCTCTGTCCTTCCTCTGTGCACCCCCAACCCTGAGTGCTTATGGGTCTGGCATTGCCCACCCTGAGGCACTAAGCCTGAGCTCCATGCTGCAGCTCTCTGCCAGCTCCCGCCTGCAGGGAGGGGACAGCAGATGCCAAGGAGGATTGAGGGGGCTTGTGTGTCTGTCTGAGAAAGCCTGAGAGACGTAGGTGAGAAACAGGTGGGGCTTCCCCAAACATTGAGGAGTAGGGACAGTGCCTCCATGAGACACAGAGCAGAGCAGACCAGGACACACACAGCCTTTGGAAAAAGGAGTTGGGGTAGGTGGGCTTCCTACTACCTGCTGGGCCTTGGTCTGTCTGTCAGTCTGTCTCTTCATCTGCTGATCTGAGTCTCCCTCCTGCTTACCCTCTGGAGACCACACCATCCCCAGCCCTACCCAAACTGTGCCCTCCACTCCAGCCAGTGGTTCCTCACTAACAGGCAGATCTGACTTTGACACTCCTAGTTTAAAGCCCTACGTGGCTCCCCAGTGCCCTTCTGGCCAGTGTCTGGGGTTCTCTCAGTCAAGGCCCCAGCCCAGCCCTCTGGTCCCAGCACTCTCTGGCCTTTGTATTTGTCCTCAAGGCTTTTGGTCACACTGGGCACTCCTTTGGCCCTCTCTCCATCTAGTAAACACCTTCTCACCATCTCCTCCACAAAGCCTTCCTGTCCCCTCCATGGTGATGGCCTGGTCTGATACTGCTGCTGTATGGGAGTCCCCTGGGGCCTGGTACAATATCGGCACTCAGGACTGTGTTTGATGAACTGATCAGCTCTGCCTGAGAAGGGCAGGAGGGCTCCCCAGAAGAGGCAGGTGGGGGGAGATGGCTGGTGGGGATCACCTGGGACAATGGGCTGGCCTTTGGGAGCAGGACAGAGGAGGCCACCCAGAGGTCTGTGTCCTGATTAAGAGGCCCGTCCTTTGCTGCCCGGAGCAGGCCTTGGTCTGAGGTTCAGCCTTGTCCCTGTGCCCAACAGACGGCCCGCCCAGAGGTTGTCTGGGGGTGATGGTTGACCGGTTGAATGGAGGAACCACAGATAGAAGGTCTGGGGTGCTGAGGCCCTGGCTAAGAGTGGTCCCACCCGGTCACACCCCAGTAGTCAGGAGGGCGGGGCCATGGAGTGGGTGGCGGCCCCTCCCTGTTTCCTCCTGGTGGGACAGCAGAGGTCAGACTCAGTCTCAGCCGTGTGTGCAGTGGGAGCATGGGCTTCGGCAGCATGAGGCGAGGGGCGAGGGGTCTGAGGGGCAGGGACGGGCCAGCACCCACGCAGTGCCTGCAGACTCAGTGCTTCGACGTGCTGGTCCGCAACTGCGTGGCCTGCAGTCTCCTCCGGACGCCGGAGCCTAGACCGGGTAAGAGTCGACCGCTGGGACGACTGAGCACAGGGCACCCCTGGAGAGGGAAGAGGGTCCTTTCACAGAGGCCTCCACCCTGCCAGAGTCTTAGGCATGGCCTCCACCTGCCCCAGGACCTGGGGCGGGGGTCACCTGATTAACGGGAGTGTGTGGCCTGGGGCCTGGATGGGGACCAGCCAGCGCTGCGTGGCCCTCACCGTCCCTTCTCTCCAC